TTCTTATTATTCATTTATTTATTTATTTATTATTTTTTGTTTAGGGAGTTTGCGTGCGGGCTGGAGATCCTCGAGTTGAAGAATATGGAAAAATAAAAGCAGCAGATATAAAACTGACTTATGCTTTATTTCTTTTGGAAGAGAATTTGAGTCATTATAGACATCTCTACAGACAAGTCCTCCAAACCCTAAACCCTAAACCCTAAACCCTAGGCTTCAAACCCTAGGCCTCACGCACTTGTGCATTATTTCTTTTGGAAGAGAATTTGAGTCATTATAGACATCTCTACAGACAAGTCCTCCAAACCCTAAACCCTAAACCCTAAACCCTAGGCTTCAAACCCTAGGCCTCACGCACTTGTGCTTTATTTCTTTTGGAAGAGAATTTGAGTCATTATAGACATCTCTACAGACAAGTCCTCCAAACCCTAAACCCTAAACCCTAAACCCTAGGCTTCAAACCCTAGGCCTCACGCACTTGTGCTCTATTTCTTTTGGAAGAGAATTTGAGTCATTATAGACATCTCTACAGACAAGTCCTCCAAACCCTAAACCCTAAACCCTAAACCCTGAACATGTTTACAGCATAATCAAACCCTAAACCCTAAACCCTCGTCCTCGCGCTTTAACCTTTCCTACGAGTGCCTTTTGCCCGAGCCATCTTCCAAATCAAATAAACAGCAGCAGCAGCAAAAGCAGCAGCACCAACAGCAGAAGCAGCAGCAGCAGCAGCAGCAACAGCTGCTGCTGCTGCTGCTGCTGCATTAGCATCATTAGTGCAGCAAATGCCGCGCCACCGTCAGCATCAGCAGCAGCAGCAGCAGCAGCAGCGGCAGCAGCAGCAGCAGCAGCAGCAGCAAAGGGTGGAGTTGCATGCATGCGTTGTTTGCATGCACCAGGCGAAGCGGGAAGAGGAAGTGTGGGGCCCCAAAAAGTATTACCAGGCGCAGCAGCCGCTGCTGCGGATTCCGCAGCTGTGGCTGCAGACCCCAGCAGCAGCAACAAAACAAGATTTGAAACCAATTGAAAAAGAATGGAGATTCGACAAGTTCATCCAAGAGTTCCCCGAACTCTGGAGGGTCCTGCTGCTGCTGCTGCTGCTGCTGCTGTTGTTGTCGTTATTGGTGGTGGTGGTGGTGGTGGTGTCGCTGCTGCTGCTCTTGTTGTTGCTGCTGCTGCTGCTCTTGTTGTTGTTGTTCTTGTTGTTGCGGCTGCTGTTGATGTTGCTGCTGCTGTTGTTGGTGTTGCAGCTGCTGCTGCTGTTGTTGTGGCTGCTGCTGCTGTTGTTGTTGCCGCTGCCTGTGTTGTTGCTGCTGCTGCTGTTGTTGTTGCTGCTGTTGCCGTTGTTGTTGCTGCTGTTGCTGTTGTTGTTGCTGCTGTTGCTGTTGTTGTTGCTGCTGCTGGTGTTGCTGTTGTTGGTGCTGCTGCTGTTGTTGCTGTTGTTGCTGCTGTGTTGTCGCTGCTGCCTGTGTTGTTGCTGTTGCTGCTGCTGCTTGTGTGTTTGTTGTTGCTGCTGCTACTGCTGTTGTGGCTGCTGCGGCTCTTGCTACTGTTGCTGCTGCTGCTGCTGCTGCTGCTGCTCTAATTTTAATTTATTTCGTTTTTTCTCTTTTTGCTGTCAGTCGCTGCATGAGGCGCGTTGGCCCCAAATCGAAGAACAAACAGCAAAAAGGAAGCAGCCGAAGCCGCAGCAGCAGCCAGCAGCAGCAGCAGCAGCAGCAGCAGCAACTCCTGCTGCTGCTGCAGCAAAAGAGCCTCCTGCTGCTGCCGGCAAGGAAGCACCGCCGCCTGCTGCTGCAGCCAAGGGGCCTCCAGATGCAGCAGCTAAAGGGCCTCCTGCTGCTGCAGCAAAAGGGCCTCCTGCTGCAGCAGCTAAAGGGCCTCCTGCTGCTGCAGCTAAAGGGCCTCCTGCTGCTGCTGATAAGGCAGCGCCACCTCCTGCTGCTGCTGCAGCTAAAGGACCTCCTGCTGCAGCAGCAGCTAAAGGGCCTCCTGCTGCAGCAGCTAAAGGGCCTCCAGATGCTGCAGCAGCCAAAGGGCCTCCCGCTGCAGCTAAAGGACCCCCTGCTGCTGCAGCTAAGGGGCCTCCAGATGCTGCAGCTAAAGGACCTCCCGCTGCAGCTAAGGGGCCTCCTGCTGCTGCGGCTAAAGGGCCTCCTGCTGCAGCTAAGGGGCCTCCTGCTGCTGCAGCTAAAGGGCCTCCTGCTGCTGCAGCTAAGGGGCCTCCAGATGCTGCAGCAGCAAAAGGACCTCCCGCTGCAGCATCTAAGGGGCCTCCTGCTGCAGCTAAGGGGCCTCCTGCTGCTGCAGCTAAGGGGCCTCCTGCTGCTGCAGCTAAGGGGCCTCCTGCTGCTGCAGCTAAGGGGCCTCCTGCTGCTGCAGCTAAGGGGCCTCCTGCTGCTGCGGCAAAAGGACCTCCTGCTGCAGCAAAGGGACCACCCGCTGCAGCAGCAAAAGGACCCCCCGCTGCAGCAGCAAAAGGACCCCCCGCTGCAGCAGCAAAAGGACCTCCTGCTGCAGCAGCAAAAGGATCTCCTGCTGCTGCAGCAAAAGGGCCTCCTGCTGCAGCAGGGAAGGTGGCCCCGCCTCCGAAGAAAGGATAAAAAGGGCAGTTGTTTTTTGGCCCTCAAAGACAGAATATTTATTAATTTTAAATCTAAGAAATTGGATCTCTTCAGTATTTCCCCGAGTCCGAGTCCGCTAGTTTGTTCAATAAAAATAGAATAAATAACTACAATTAATTAAATTAATTAATTTAATTAATTAAACTAATTAAACTAATTAATTTGCCAGCCAGCCATGGCTCTTCTTTGGGGGCGCCCATGAGCTCGGGGTGTACAGACAGCTCGGATGTTGGGATTTTTTCCGCATTTTTTCGTTTTTGAAGTTTTTAAAAAGATTTTGAAAAGTTTTTATTTAATTAATTTAAATAGTTATTTTATTTTTATTTATTTAACTCCAAATGGAGCCAAAAGACCTCTTTTCCAGCCCCTTTCAAGGGGCCCCCAAGATCTTGATGGGGGCCCCCGGGAGGGGCCCCCGCCAGATGGTGGGGCTGTTTTATCTTTGGTTTGCTTTAAACGGCAAAATTAAATTAAATTTAATTTAATTTAATTGATTAAATTTAATTAAATTTAATTTAATTTAATAAACATATTTATATAATTTCATTTGTCGGATTTAAATGCATTTCATCTTGCGGATTCATCACCCAACCCGTCTGTCAACTTTCTTTTTATTTATTTAAATTTATTTTATTTATTTATTATTTTATTATTTATTTATTTGTCAATTTCAAACAAAGGAGCAGCAGGGGAGGGGGCACACAAATGGAAGAGCAGCAGACTCCCGC